AGACAGAGTCTCACTGTGTCACCCAGGCTGCTGTGCAGTAGTGCAATCATAGCTCACTGCAGCCTTGAATTCCTGGGCCCAAGTAATCCTCCCTCCTCAGCCTCCCATAGAAAATTTTTAAGTAATTCTAATCTATTTTTTAAAGAAACAACAAAACACCAATTGACTCTTGACAAACCACTAGATTTCATTGCTGGACTAAGAAGTTTCTAGACCTTCTGGATTTAATTGAATATTGAATGAGTGTCGAGGAACTGTAGGGCAAAGGGCGTCTGCTCCATAGTTGATCCAAGAAATGTTTAATGGGTTGTACTGGTTTACAGAGGATTATGAGTCCAGAGGCCCAGCCCTGCAAGAGTTCATAATCTGCCATGTTGCAGGCAAGTGTAAACAAATGGTACAGTGCAGCAAGATAAGTGCTACCAGCGGAATGTACAAAACGCGATCAACTGCACACAGCCCACGGAAAATATAAGACTCTTACACTATTACCCCAACTCTCCACATTTCCATAAGTGTTATGATTTGAGGATGAAATATACTGAATAGAACAAGACTTAATTCCCTTGATAGTCCACTAATTTCATAGTTGTCCTTCCTTACCTTTCAGAAAAAGGGAGCTATTATGTTTCCTTATGTCTCTAGCTTTTGTGAAAAAAAATCACCCTCTTCTGGTCATGACCTTGTCCTTGTCTCTGTCTTCTGTTCACCTCTGCCTCCCTGTAATGAATAATTATTTTTTAACTTTGTGGTTGCTCTTCTGGCACTGGGTTCCCTAAGGGAGATGAACTAATATTTGTTAAATCCCCTGATTTTTGTGTGAATCCTCCTTGATCCCTAGCTTTTATAGAAATAGAAAATAAGCAATTTAAGAGCCTGGAGTAAATGGGGAAGTCAGAATCCTGATGTACAGGCTCAACCTTTCACTTAGGTTTGGGGTGAATGTAATGAAGCTCTCTACAAACGATGTGGAAATTGAAATAGAAAATGAATATGTTACCCGTTTAGTGCAAATGTTCTGTTAGGCACAAGCATAATTTATCATTAAGTGCTTCTCTTCTAATGCCACTGGGTATAATTGTGTTGAGTCAAAATGCTTTTGGCTAATATACTTTTTAATCCATAAGGCCCAATTAGGTTTTGAAAATACTAATAAATATAGCTATTCTAAAATATCCGCATTCATGATTTACAGAAAGTAGAGTTTTATTTATTTATTTATTTATTTAAACAGGGTCTCACTCTGTCACCCAGGCTGGAGTGCAGTGGTGCGATCTCGGCTCACTGCAGCCTCCACCTGCCAGGCTCAGGTGATCCTCCCACCTCAGCCTCCCGAGTAGCTGAGACTACAGGCATGTACCACCATACCTGGCTAATTTTTGTATTTTTTGTAGAGATGGGGTCTCACTGTGTTGCCCGGGATAGTCTCGAACTCCTGGGCTCAAGTGATCCTCTCGCCTTGGCCTCTCAAAGTACCGGGATTACAGGCATGAGCCACCACACCCAGCCAAAAGTGGAGTTTCTTGTTATGTAATTAGCAAAAAAAAAGATGTTCCTTGTAGCAGCAGAGGCAGCTATGCAGGTGACCTGCAGGTGAGAGGACAGCCTCTTTCCTCACTAGGTCTCTGTTTCCTGGACCTCAGCAAGACTCTTTAGTTATGTGATAAGCCAAATGGTCATTCATTCACTCATCTAATCATTCATTCATCCAACTAATATTTATTGAGTGCCTTCAGTGTGCTAGGTAAAGTGTCTGCCTTCATGGAGTGTACATTCTAACAAACAAAACAGACCATAATGTATGAACAAATAGCTATGTACGCTAATGTTGGGTAGAATTAAGTGTTATGAAGACGTTGGAGCAGAAGAAAGGGTTGGAGTTGAAGACAGCACTGCTTCAAATCGGGTGAACAAGGAAGGCTTTCTGAGGAAGCTGAATGTAGCAGATCCAAGAAGGAATTGAGAGACAGAGCCATTGAATATCCCCGGGAGTTGCGGGAGCCGGTGTCTCAACAGGGGGAGGAGCAAATGCCAAGGCATTAAGATGAGGGTGTGTCCAAGATCCAGTGTCTAGACACTTTTTCTTCCCTATTTTAATTGGATTGAAACCACCTTTGCAAAGATTGAAACAGTGAGAAAATTATGACAGTGAAAGAGATCTGTTGATCTAACTAACTCCATCTTGCCTTTAATCTCAAACCGCCTCTGGTCATTCCTGGGTTTCGTTCAAGCTAACTTTGGGAGAAATTTAGTTTATAATTTAAATGATAATACCCCTTCCCCAAAACTAAACCACCCTTGTAAAACTAACCAGGTTAGGAGGATGAGAGGGTTCTGAACTCTGCTAAAATGCAGGCATGAATGACTACCAGCTGCCCTTGCTGCCACCAACATGGAGACTTTGTACCGTGTCCTGTTCTTAGTCCTCGAATGTCTCAACCTGAAGCTGAAGAAGCTGCCCTGGCTTCGCTTGCCGTTGGCCATGACTGTGTACACTCTGGTGGCGGTGTCTTACCTCCTCATCGCTGGAGGAATCATTTATGATGTTATTGCTGAACCTCCAAGTATTGGCTCTATGACTGACGAACATGGGCGCCAAAGTCTATTTTACAAAGTAAATAGATAATATATTATGGAAGGACTTATATCCAGCTTCCTGTTTACAATGGAAGGTTTAGGTTTCATAATCCTGGACCAACTGAATGCACCAAATATCCCAGAATTCAATAGATGTCTTCTTCTATTCATTGGATTCATCTGCGTCCTATTGAGTTTTTTCATGGCTAGAGTATTCATGAGAATGAAACTACCGGGCTATCTGATGGGTTAGAGTGACTTCGAGAAGAAATCAGTGGATACTGGATTTGCTCCTGTCAATGAAGTTTTCAAGGCTGTATCAATCCTCTAATATGAAATGTGGACAAGAATGAAAAGCAGCAGTAAAAGAAATATCTAGTGAAAAAACAGGAAGTGTATTGAAGCTTGGACTAGAATTTCTTCTTGATATTAAAGAGACAACTTTATCGCAGTTTTTTTTTTTTTTTTCCTGCTGACCTATTGCTATGCTAATGATGTGGAGTGGCATTTTCTTCGTAGTTTTTCATTTCTTAAAGAAAATATACTCAGTATCTACAACTACAATATCAAATAAAGTGATTATTTTTTACAACCCCTTAACGTTTTTTGGAAATGACATTTCTGATTTTCAGAAATTAACATAAAACCAAGAAGCAAGTTTCCATTAGCTGAGAACTCTGGACAGCTAATCAGCTTCATCTATGGTCCTTTGCCTTTAACTAGAGTACGTGATGGTAGATTATTTCAGATATGCATGTAAGACTGTTTCTTGAACAATAATATGTATGAAAGGAGCAGAAATAAATACTTTTTCTAATTCAAAAAAAAACCAAAAATGACTACTAGCCATTATTCCAGAGGTCACAAGATATGCAACTTCCCTGACTACTCCTGCAAATGACATCACTTTTGGAGACCCTGAGACTGGCCATTTGAGATGGCTTGTCAGGCTTTTGCATTTCTGACTACCAGATGGCCCCAGCCAGACCAGCACCTCCTCTGGGGGTCCCCACCCAGAAGTGGACTGAGCACAAGAGGGCTGTTCTCCATACCCCTATGATTGCATCCTCAGCCAATCAGCACTCTCCCTTCCTTATCTCCCTGCCCACTAAACTGTACTTGACTCTGAACTGTACTAGCCTCCAAATTTTCAGGGAGATTGAGTAGTATCTCTTTTTCTATGCAAGGCCAGCCTCAAATCAATTAAACTCTTTCTTTACTGCAATGCCATGGTCTCCATGGATTAATCTTGTCTGAGCAGCAGACAGGAAGAACCTGTCAGGTGATTATAAAACCAGGAGCAACACATTCAAAGTTAATCTCCAATGAGATCAACCGTTTTCTAACTTTGGTGTTGCTCAATGATTCATTAGACTTATCAGCGCTCAATATGAATTTGTTAATCTGGAAAGACGTAAGACATTTATTTCCCACTCTTTTATACCTTCCAGTAGTGACTATGTACATGTGGAGGAGGGTAGGGGATTCAGACAAATTCAAACAAATAAGAGGGAACAAAAATTACTGGTTGAAAAAATTCACCCTGGCCAAGCGTGGAGGCTTGAATTTGTAATCCTAGCACTTTGGGAGGCCAAGGTGGGAGGATCACTTGAGCCCAGGAGTTCAAGACCAGCCTGGGCTACAAGGTGAAACCCCAACTCTACTAAAAATACAAAATTTAGCCAGGCGTGGTGGTGCGCACCTATAGTCCTGCTACTCAGGAGGCTGAGGCAAGAGGATCGCTTGAACCTGGGAGGTGGCGGTTGCAGTGAGCCGAGATTGCTCCACTGCACTGTAGCCTGGACAACAGAGTGAGATTCCGTCTTAATAAAAAAATAAAAACTCAGGCCGGGCGCGGTGGCTCAATGTAATCCCAGCACTTTGGGAGGCCGAGGCGGGTGGATCACGAGGTCAAGAGATCGAGACCATCCTGGTCAACATGGTGAAACCCTGTCTCTACTAAAACTACAAAAATATTAGCTGGGCATGGTGGCGCGTGCCTGTAGTCCCAGCTACTCAGGTGGCTGAGGCAGGAGAATTGCCTGAACCCAGGAGGCGGAGGTTGCGGTGAGCCGAGATCGCGCCATTGCACTCCAGCCTGGGTAACAAGAGCGAAACTCTGTCTCAAAAAAAAAAATAATAAAAAAATAAAAACTCCTTTAAAAAGGACAGATTCCCTCTGCACGTGTCTTTTACCCCATGTCTCTCTCCCTCTTCCTGCCCTAATCAGATAGGATGCTAGAGTCAGAAAGTTTATCTTGCAACCACCTGGGGACAAGCATGGAACAAAAGCTACATGGAAAGGATTGCTCAGCAGAAAGCTAGAGGCCACCTGGGTTCCTGATGGCCCTGTGAGCTATACTCACCTGCTGAGACTATCAACCCACAGACTTCTTGTGTGCAGAAAAGAAACCAAAAGAAATCTCTGACTCGGCTAAGCAATTCATCAGGTGTTCTACTCTCAGCCAATTAATACCAATTGATACATTCTTACGTGGGGATGTATTCTTTCAAGTTTGAAGATGGAGTTGATTGTTTATGGAATGTGGTCAATGTCCTCTGGGCCCAGTCTCTCCTTCTCCAATCTCTTGGTTCTGCCTTTCTTGCATTTTACTCAGTTTTCAACTGGGCTCCCTCCATGTGGTGTTTCTCGGCAGCACTACACTGATATCCTAATCAATTCTAACTAAAACTCCAGAACTGAGTCTTATTGAGAGAACTAAGGATCACTAGGGAACCAACCCCTAAGAACCAGGGGATCCCGCCTTCCTATTGGCCATGTCCAGGTCACATGGCCAAGCTTAGAACTAGGGTTCATGTCAGCTCACCAAATCTCATGGATCAAGAATGGAGAGTGAGCACATAGAGCCCCAAGGCAAATATTGGTTCTGTTACTGAAAGAAGGGGGAAAATGCTGGACAACTAAAAACAAGAAATGCCCGTAATTGGCTCAGGTGGCACTTCTTTTATGCCATATAGTTATAGTTCAATTCTGTGTGATGTTTCTCCTTCCCTATTAGATTAGGAATTCCTTGACAGAAGGGAACATATTTATTTGATGACAGCCAACTCTTTCCTTCTGCTTCTCTGCTTTGTGCAATGCCTAGCATTTAGCTGGCAGCTACTGAATGGTTTTGTTTCCGGATTTTTTTTTTTTTTTTGAGACGGAGTCTGGCTCTATTGCCCAGACTGAAGGGCAGTGGCACGATCTCACTGCAACCTCTGCCTCCCAGGTTCAAGCAATTCTCCTGCCTCAGCCTCCCAAGTAGCTGGTATTGCAGATGGCTGCTAAGACATCCAGCTAATTTTTGGTGTTTTTAGTAGAGATGGGGTTTTACCATGTTGGTCAGGCTGGTCTTGAACTCCTAACCTCAAGTGATCCACCTGCCTCAGCCTCCCAAAGTGCTGGGATTACAGGCATGAGCCACTGTACCTGGCCCTGAATGGTTTTTGAATAAATAAATAATAGTTGATACTAGCAAGAATGGTTCAACTTATTACAGTGATTATAAATCACACTACACACAAGTTATTACTGTGATGATAAAATTAGATGATAAATGAGTTAGATAAGTCCTATCAAAAGGCTTACTTACTTTGGCCAGGTGTGATGGCTCACACCTGTAATCTTAGCACTTTGGGAGGCTGAGGCTGGTGGATCACTTGAGGTCAGCAGTTCAAGACCAGCCTGGCCAACATGGTGAAATCCCATCTCTACTAAAAATACAGAAGTTAGCCAAATCTGGGAGGCGGAGTTGCAGTGAGCCGAGATCATGTCACTGCACTCCAGCCTGGGCGACAGAGTGAAACTCCACCTAAAAAAAGATGCTTACTTACTTTCAATGTATACTACTACTAAAATCCTTGGTTCCCTTTAAGGCAGACTATATAGATTAAATGTGATCTTGCAATTATCTTACATTTATAAGTTATAGGATTTCTTTCCAGGTTTGTACACAGTTAATATTCCCCAAACACAGGACAGAATTAACTATACCTATATTTAAATATAGTGACAAAAAATAGGGACAGGAAATACAATCATTAAGATTAGAAAATAACTTTACATGTTATTTATTTATGGTGTTTATTTATGGTTAAAAATACACAATAGGCCAGGTGCAGTGGCTTATGCCTGTTATAGCAGCACTTTGGGAGGCCAAAGCAGAGGATGGCTTGAGCCCAGGAATTCAAGACCAACCAGGACAGCATGGTGAGATGCCATCTCTATAAAAAATTTAAAAATCAGCCAGGCATGATGGTGCATGCCTGTAGTCCCAGCTACTCAGAAGGCTGAGGCCAGAGGATCACTTGAGCCCAGGACTTTGAGGCAGCAGTGTAAAGTGGAAAGTTTATGGGAGTAAATGTCATACATTAAAAATTCTTCTACATTAAAAAAGAAGAAAGATCTCAAATCAACAACCCAACTTTATAACTCAAGGAAATAGAAAAAGAAGAACAAGCGAAACCCAAAGTTAGCAGAAGGAAGGAAATAATAAAGATTAAAGCAGAAATAAATGAAACTAGTAATAGGGAAAAACAATAAATGAAACTAAGTTGGTTTTTTGAAAGAAATCAACGAAATTTATAAAACCTTAACCAAACTACGAAAAAAGGAGAAAATATTCAAATACATAAATTCAGATATGAAAAGGTGCATTGCAAGTAATACCACAGAAATAAAAAGGATTTTAAGACTACAATGAACAATTACATTCCATAGACTGCATAATCTAGAAGAAATGGACACATTCCTAGAAATATACAAACTACCAAAACTAAATCATGAAGAATAAAGAATCTGAACAGACCAATAACGAATAGGGAGATTGAATCAGTAATAAAAAGTTTCCAGCAAAGAAAAGGCCAGGACCAAGTGCCTTCTCTGAAGAATTCTATCCAACACTTAGAGAAGAATTCATACCAATCTTTCTGAAATGCTTTTAAAAAATGAAAGAAGCAGGAACATCTTCAAACTCATTTTATAAAGGCAAAATTACACTGACACTAAAACCAGACAAAGATTCAAGGCTGGGTGCGGTGGCTCACGCCTGTAATCCCAGCACTTTGGGAGGCCCAGCAGGGAGGATCACAAGTTCAAGAGATTAAGACCACCCTGGTCAACATGGTGAAACCCCTGTCTCTATTAAAAATACAAAAACTAACTGCGTGTGGTGGTTCGCACCTGTAATCCCAGCTACTCAGAAGGCTGAGGCAGGAGAATCGCTTGAACCAGGGAGGCAGAGGTTGCAGTGAGCCGAGATCGCACCACTACACTTCAGCGTGGCGACAGAGTGAGACTCAGTCTCCAAAACAAACAAACAAACAAACAAACAAAATTCAAGGAACAAAAACCTACAAACGAATATTACTGATAAATATTGACATAAAAGTCTTTTTTTTTTTTTTTT